GTATATAAGCAATTGCTCTTCTTCTAGCTCTTAAAGAGTTGAGAAGAAGGCAAGCCTCGCGCCGTCGTCGTCGTCGTCGCTCGCTCGGCTCGGCTCGGCTTCGGCTACGGCTACGGCTTCGGATTTGGATTTGGATTTGGTCAAATGGTCGATTGATTGATTAATTTTTTGGACCAAATTTATTTGTTAATAGTGAATATAAACGTAATATAATCCGTGTTTGTAACGGATGTTTTCCAATTCGTGTATTGTCCCACCAGTTGCAAAAGCAGCCGCCTAGTGCTCCTCCCACCATGGCCAAGTGCTTGCTCCATAAAAAGCTAGTGCATGCTCCACCATGGAGGGTGGCGGGTCTCACAGCTGATTGCTATAAATATGAGCAGCAACAGTTGGAGAAACACACAAACACAAACACCGAAAGATCCTCTTCAATTGAACTCAACATTGGCTATACATTGCATTCCTTCCTCACAGAATTTCCGTTCGACTTCTGAGTTCTCCTCTCTTATTCTGCATTGTTTTTAACTACAAACAAAGCATCCGTAAGTGTGATTTGCTGCCGAACTTTATGTTCGCTGAAACACTGGGTTTGAAGTACCGCTACACCAGTGTGTAATTCGTTCTATCCCGGGAGGAAATAATCCATAACCTTGGGTACTAGGATGGGATTAAATTCCTTAAGGAAACATTGTGAATTCAGTGGGCTCGAATTAATTACTGTTTCATTTATATTTACATTTATATGCTAACGTTCTTTTCTCCAGAATTATTATTTACAAATACAGGATAACAACAACCAACAGACAATTCCTATTGGACTTTGTCTCCAATTATAATTGTGATTCCACAGCAACCATACCGGCTTTGAACACCGAGGGACTCGGAAATTTGTCCTCAAAAGCCGCCTATAGCCGAATCTTTCTAGTAGACCAATTGTATTATCTGCCTCCCACATCGGCACTTCACTTTCAACCATCACCTCTTGACATCTATAAATACAGTATACTCTTTATTCTATTAGCATCACTTTTGGTGTTTGGCAATCACTTTGAGTCTACTTTTGACGACTTGGAAGCATTGACGCGAAGGTAATTTCTTCTTATTTTCTTGCGCTTTTCTTCCTTTATTGGTTTTATTTTGTAGGTAAAACAAGAAGGATATATTCTTGCTTAACGAGATTATCTACGCATGAAGAAGGGTGTTATAAGGTGTGAAGGGATGAGTACTCATCCTTGCCCGAATATTGGAGAGATTACTCTCATGGCCCGACTACCGGAGAGATTACTCTCAATGTGGCCCGACTACCGGAGAGATTACTCTCAGTGTGGCCTGACTACCGGAGAAATTAATCTTAATGTGGCTCGACTACTGGAGAGATTACTCTCAAAATGACCCGTCTACTGGAGAGATTACTCTCAATGTGCTCGACTACCGGAGAGATTACTCTCAATATGGCTCGACTACCGGAGAGATTACTCTCAAAATGACCCAACTATCGGAGAGATTACTTTCAATGTGACCCGACTACCGGAGAGACTACTCTCAATGTGGCTCGACTACCGGAGAGATTACTCTCAAAGTAACCATTCTCAAGGGCAAACCCACGAAAAAGCCAACTTAAGGTGCAAAGGGACTTATATGTCCACCTTAAGATTGGAAAGTTATAAAGCTTCAACTCGAAGACTTCATGGACTTGATGACGTCGACTTGAACACTTGGAAAACTTTGAAGATTTGGTAAACTTTGAAGACTTCAACCTGAAGACCGACAAACTTGAAGATTCGATGGACTTTGACGTTTCAATCTGAAAACTTTGAGGGCTCAAATACTTCCACTTGAAGACCGACGAGTTTGAGGACCTCAACTTGAAGACTTGGAGGTTTAAATATTTCAATTTTAAGACCAACGAATTTGAAGACTGAAACTTGAAGACCGTTGGACTTGGAGATTCCAACTTGGAGACTTCGAGGGCTTAAATATTTCATCTTCTCTTTTGCTTTACATTGTCCGACTTTTGTCTTAGTCGCATAATTTTCAGCTTTACGCGCTTGTAACAAAAGATTCATATTTTATCGTCGGAGAGTCCAAATAACGAACCGTTTGATTTTTCGAATATTAGACTTCAATATCTAACATATATCCAAAATTTAGAATCAAATACCTTCACAATCGCCCAAGATAATATTTTGAAACCAACTTTAGATTCCACCACATTGAAAATTTCAGATTTGCACAGTCTCACCCAGAAAATCATATCTTGGTGTAGAAATATTGAAATTGCAAACCGTTTGATTTCTTGAAAACTAGACTTCAAAATCTAGAACATATCCAAAATTCTCAATCAAACAACTTTATAATCATCCTAGATAATATTTTGAAATAAACTTTATATTGCACCACGCTATCAATTCCATATTTGCGCAGTCTCACCAAACAAATTCATATCTTGGTGTAGAAATATTGAAATTGCGAACCGTTTGATTTTTCGGAAACCAAACTT